ATCTGAAATTGCTTCGCAAAGTACATCAGGAGAAAGAGCATAATTTGTGGAAGGATCAGTTCTAAGCAACCTGCAGAGCTCTGGATTGAGTCCTCCTATCTGACAATTAACAGAAATATCATTATTATCAAATCACGGACGGTCATCTTGACAAAATTAGTGCAGACTTCAATGTGCAACTAAGCAACAAAAATGATGTCTCCTTTTAACCATGCAAGGTTCAAGCTGGACTAATCCCGTGCGTATCTCTCGGTTTCTCTATCGCTTATCTCAGGTCAAGGAATAGAAAAGATTTTCTAAAAATTGCATGAAGCAAAATAACTAGAAATTAGATCATCATTTGAGCATACATACTGCAATTGCAAGATCATAGGTGATCGAAACCCATAAGCATCATACGGAAGAAAAGGACAGCAGGATCATTATTAACCTACAATAGACTAAACAAATTTGAACACCATGATCCCTCTTCCCTAGTGAGCAGATTCAAGGATGTTATGTTTATACATTATGTTTAAAAGGGTCACATGGTTGGCAATCAATTTGAAGACTGGAAGAAGGAACAGTTAAGAAAGCCAAATGCTTCTGGATACTTATTCTTTTCTTTTTCCTTTGATTGTTGAAGGTACCTGACAAGCTTTGAGCAAAGAAGAGTGTGTTTGATCAGATGCATACATCACAAGCTTAGAGAGAGCACTCTTGCCAACCCTCGTTAACATCTTGTCACGAGCTGCCAGCAAGACAACTAGCACAGCTTCACTTGCCGTTCCCTGTATAACCCCACCCCCTTGTCCTGCATTAAAACGTAACTTCCTGCATTTCACTGGTTTGATCTATAGCATAATATTTGGAGTATACCAAATAAATTATTCAAAACTATTTAGATTCTAAATTTTAATGTCTATCAAAATTATTGGGGACGAAGTTCAACAGAATCTGAAGCACGAGTTTATATCTTCATTCAAAATCAGATTTATCATTTGCTGCCTCAACACAAACAAGTTTCTTTTGTTTTTCATTTTTTATTTTTATTTTGCTGGGCCAAACGTTAACGAACAGGTTAGGTAGTTGGCAATATAGGCAATCACAAATATGCCAATGTAACTCAAAATCCGCGAAGCAGTCCAAAGTCCTGGCTTTAGTAACCATGCCATTTTCTTCGGGTTTATGCTTTTCTCTTCCTTCATATCAGACTAATTCAACAAGATGCTGTAGTTTTAGGCGTTACCAGTAGAATAGAAATGATCAGGCAGCTGAAATGCCTTAGCAAGCCAGTCAAGAGCGATCATTTCAAGTTCAGTTGCCGCAGGAGAAGTTATCCAGCTGAAACCCACAATGTTTAGAGCAGCACTGAGCATTTCTCCCAGAAATCCAGCAATGCTACCGTTCGAAGGAAAATATGCAAAAAAATTTGGGCTTTGCCAATGCGTCACCCCTGGCATTATCTTTTCCTGAACATCTAATACATGACATATTTTAGCCATCTTTAGTGGGGAAAATCTCGTTATTAGGTAAATAGTAGCATGCTACCATGTCTCGTTTATGATCTGCATTGGTTGAATAGGAAAATTTGCATAAACAGACTCTTATATAGAAATCTCACCATTCAAGATGTCTTGTAGTGATTCAGGATGATCAGGAGCAGAATCTGGTAGAAGCTTCCCAAGATACCCCGGCTGCAATATGCGAGACAAATATAGAGAAACCGATGCATAGTCATAGTGATTTCAAACTAGAAGCACGATTGAAAGATTAAAAGAAAGGATCAGATAAAAGAAGACAGCAGAGTTACTCAATAAAAGAAGAGCGTCATGCACATATTGACAGAAGTTTAATATTTTCCCGTTTCAATTACAGACTGAATCCATGTTTCAAGTTCTTTGAGAAGCATATTCTCATTCAGCTATAAGGCACCATAAACGATCGTGCAAATGAAAGAAAGATATTAAAGTGAAAAACTTCGGAATACTTTACAACCTCAACTTGGCTGAGCACAGGGAAATTTTCAATGGTTTTGTAGTAGTCAGCAATGAAATCCACCATCTTATGAGCCTGCTCTCTGAGCTGTTCAGCGTCCATCGGCCTCAACTCACTCTCCCTAGACATTTATGAACTGCGAAGGTCAAAGTTCAAAGCTGAGACTATGCAATGAACGAGGCACTGGAACTGGTTTACTCATTTAATCTACAAATGAAATTTTGTAAAATGCGTAATCTCCAACAATCATTGCCATAGACATGGAGATAGAGTTTGATGTTTGGGACTCACATTTCTTTGGGGAATAGTGAAGAGCCTTGACGGAGATAAACTAAGCGGACTGAAATACTATTCCAGCTCCAGCACTCCAGTACTGGTGAAGAGAGCGGAAAATGTCTCCAGCACGACGATGGCTTTCGTCAACTAGAATTGAACGCTGTGCATTGGAGGGTTACTATTATGGAAAATACGTTGCAAAGTTTACGTTATTGAATTTTTATTTTAATCGTATCACGGCATTTAATTATTTTGTGATTGATTAAAAATTGTAGATCATTAAATACTACCTCCAGTCCTTAATATAAGATTTTGTTTGACTTTTATTTTGATCTTAAATATAAGATCCCAATTCACTTTATCTCTCATATTTATATTTTTTTTTTTAAGGTAGTCCTTCTGATAATTGTAGTCCTAGCAAATATAGTTGATTAGTAAGGATATTTTAAGAAAGATAACACCTGTTTATTACAAATAATTAACTTAATTTTTTTTAATCTTCTTAAATTAGTCTACTGAGTTTTATAAGTAGAACCCGATATGACTTTTATTACAGAGTGTAAAATTCTGACAACTAATTATAAATGGTGTTATGCGATGGGTAAATAATAGGGTCAGAAGCCTCAAAATGTTTATTGTAATTTATGGTCCGAATCTTCCAAGAGCAAAGCTTCTACAGTACTACCTCTGATTCTTAATATAAGAAATAATTTGACCTTTAATTTGATCTTAAATATAAAATCTCAATTTACTTTGTTTTTCATTTTTATCTATTTTTTTCAATGTAGCCCTTGTAATAATTGTAATTTTAACTAATACATTTGATTAACAAAGATAATTTAGAAAATACAACACATATTTATTACAAATAACTAACTTAACTAGTTTTCTTAATCTGCTCAAATTAGTTAACTAGGTCTTATATTAGAGATCGGAAGTAGTATATACCCAATATGAGGTCAATATTAGAAAAGTCAAACCTTTATTAATATCCGATCATTTTGTTGGCATCGATCAAAATACTTTAAATAATAATGATAAATTGTACCCCTATTTGCGGTTCCATACTTTTATTAATCTTTAATCTGATGCATGCACGAGATAAAGATCCAATATTTGCGCCACCAACCAAGAAAAAGATGTAGATTTAATAAGAGCAAATTTTTTTAATTATATAAGAAGTATACTCCGTCAATTCAATAATCAATATACTAAACTCTTGCCGGATCCTAATAATAACAGAGTTTGTATTTAGAAAGTATGAGTCACATTTTTATAAATTGAATTAATTTATGTTGACAATGATGTATTAATTTAGTCATGTATAGAATTATGCTTTAAACACAGATATCTTATACAAGGTGGTGGAGTCGTTAAGATTTTTAATTAATTATATTTTTATTTCACCAGATAATTCAATATGAAAGCTGTCCAATCATACGCACACCAAAATGCGTACTAAACCCTACACACTAATATACGGTATTTAATATAAAACTTAATTAGCTAATTAAAAAAATTGAGAAAATTAGTTAATTTAATTATAGGTTTTTTTTAATAGAATACTCTTACTAATCATATGTACTAGTCAAAACTACTATCTGATAGAACTTTTATATGTACAATTACTATAAGAATTATTTTAAAAAAAATAGATAAATACGAGAGTCAAAATAAATTAGAATTTTACATTTGAGATCAAATTAAAAATTAAACTAATCACTGAAAGTAATACTACCTTCAGTCCTTAATATAAGATCTTGTTTGACTTTTATTTTAATTCTAAATATAAGAACCCAATCCACTCTATCTCTCATATTTATGTATTTTTTTAAAGGTGGTCCTTCTAATAATTGTAGTCCTAGCCAATATAGTTGATTAGTAAGGATATTTTAGAAAAGATAACACTTATTTATTACAAATAACTAATTTAACTTTTTTAATCTCTTCAAATTAATCAACTGTATCTTATAATTAGGATTGGAGGCGGTACCATTCATCACGTCGATCTTGTTGAGATGACGACAGTCTAGTTGAATTCTAGTCAACGCCAACCATAGCTAATAATTATTGAATCCTCAGGGCGAAAAAGAGGTCGCACTGAACGTCAATGATTTCTTTCAGCTTTCAGTACTCAGTGATGGGCATTATAATATTTATCAAAATTTAATTATTTAAATTTAATAAAAAATAAATATTTAATATTTAATATTTTATTTTAAAAAAATATTTTAAATTGATATTTAATTCAAAATAAATATAATTTTTAATTGCAAGTTTCTTAAAAAATAATTTTTTAAAAAATAATTAATTAAAATTTTAAATCCAAATCATTAAAATTAATTTTAAATAGTTTAGATTTCATCACAGAAATAAATATTACTGTTTCACCTCACATGTGAAATTTTCATTCTTTTTAAATTTTCCGCCTCTTGATTAATTACCACCAAAACAAACACCCCCCTTCCTCCCCCGGGATTATATGTTTAAAAGTAGTGCTCGAACCCGCTTTATTTTGTGACGACTTCCATTAAAGCGGAACCCTGGGCCTCGAACCCGCTTCTTTTTTTTTTTTGGGTACAGAACCCGCTTTATTTTGTGACGACTTCTATTAGTGCAGAACCCTGGGCCGGATATTTTGGCCAACATGGGCTAGAAAATAATATTTAAATCCAAAATATAAACTGCACTGTTATTAAATTTTATTATATATAATAATATTGATATTGATATTGATATATTGAAGATAACCATAATATTTTTGGGCGTCTACAATTCCATTACACCGTTAACTTTCGCTGTTCCAAAATGTTCATTCAAAGCTATTATTGATATTTTGAAAATTGAATTATAAATAAGACAGCAATCCATGCATTGGCGTGTAAGAGGAAACCATTACATGAAACAGACGGAGAGCACTTTGGATCCGTCCTACGAATTCCCAAGTAGAGAAGAGGCTTTATCCTGCAAAATCTGCCAAGCAGCATCCACATGCCTTACTTCTGTCAATGGTGCTCCAACTGCGAAACGTAGAATGTACTTACCCGATAAAACCTGTACAAAAATTGATAATTTTATAAACTGAAGGAAAAGAGAACTAAGAAAAATGCATTGGAGCATGACGCCGGTAAAGCAAAGATACCGTGTGTGTCATGAAAATATTCCCAGTTGAATTTACAGAGTCTAGTAGATCCCGATTTAGCTGATTGCCGTCATGTCCAGAATCAGGCCGAGGCAAGAGCCGAAAACACACCAATGAGAAAGTCCGAGGCGTAACAACCTGTAAGAAACTAAAAGATCAAGAAATCGTGATACGGTAATCATAGGAATTGACTTGCTTTGTCTTCCGATATTAATTAATGTTGTTTGGGACTTCTAAATTCATAGATAAAGGGAAACAAAAATTTCCGTCAAAAATGATACCCAAGAAACAGAGGGCGTAAAACACAGCACTGCTCTACCTCAAATCTTGGGTCTTGACGAACAAGTTTCTCAAAATGAGCAGCCAAATCAATGTGACTTCGTATATGACTTCGCAGACCTTCCAAACCATAAAGGCGCAGCACCATCCAGAGTTTTAAGGATCTAGGGAGTGCAAGTCAATCGGCAAGATTTCAGATCCATAAAGAAAAACAAGGTCAAACATCTGACAGTATTTCTTGATCTCTAAGTTTTAAAGGAGCCTTTATTAGAAAACTATCAATTATCACAGATAATAATATCTTTCAGTTTTAGTTTCTCATGAACTCCAAGAACTAGTACGAATCAAGATCGTATGCACACTGCCAAGTATACTTGAAAGTGGTCTGGCGGTTCCAATGCATGTAAAACGCCAATTTATCCATGAGTTTCATTTTTCAATCTTCCATTAACGAGCGGTTTTGGCACCACACAAAAATAAAAAACACAAAAAACCTCTATTATAAGAGAAAATAACATGCATTTCTAAAGGCTAAATTCAAAAAACATACCTGAAGCGACGTCCAAGAGGAACTTGCCAATCTTTGTAATCAATGACCAGCTTTGCTTGAGAAGCCTGAAGTTTCAATCGTACAAGAAGATAATTAGACAAGAGTTTAATCACAGATGTCAGTATAATTAAAACAGCATGTCAGATAGAAATGAATGTTCCCATGACTTTCTCATCCCCCAAGACAAAATATTTAATCATAAAAGGTTTATAAAATAGCTTAGATGATACCGAAAGCATGCAATTTACATACTTTGTTCTTCAGAAATTCGGGATTTGTAGATAGTGACTCAATCAGAGCGTTCCTGTCCTGTCATCATCATTTGAACAATGCATATTTTTTGGTTCATTAAGTAAATCGAACCATCTGGAGATGCTGAAAGGGGATTGAGAATAAGAACAAGATGTTGCCTCACAGATACCTGAACCCAGAGCAGTGAACAGTCAAAGTTGGTTAAAAACCATTTATGAGCATTCATGTTAAACGAGTCCGCTTCTTCGACACCATTAATGTGGTGGCGATACTCTGGGCACACACAAGCGCTTCCAGCATAAGCAGCATCCACATGAAACCAGATTCCATGGCTCTGTCAAGAAGAGATGAATTACAAGCATTATCAGATGAAACAACTCCCCAGCGTGCACCTACCAAGTACCCTCTGGTCCAACTTATAAGGCAGAGAGAGAAGACATTTTTTTTTATTCTATTTATAGGGCACTTAGAGAAATTTTTTATATGAATGTACAATTTTACCCTTCATTTATTATCATGTTGACTTTGCTTACATGAGGTATAATGTATATTAACTAGGGATAAAGTTGGAAAGTTGTTGAATTTTAAATGAGAGTTAATGAAGTTCAAGAGTTTCCTTAATATGTATGAAACATGTTTGAAGTAACTTATAAATAAGACCAGAGGAGTACTAGCTACGTCAGACAGAACTCTACCCCAATCATTATAAAAGAAATACTGACACAAGCAGTGACGAACAAAACACAATGTCAGAATCAGCATCAGAAGATGAAACAGACCCGAAAAGAATAAACTATTGAAATTTAGATGATTTTGTGTAGGTATACTACACAGCAATTGAAGGAATCTTTCGAATTTATCAAGAATCTTGAAACACGTGCCTCACAACAGCTAATCTTCAAGATAATAGCAGCACTATTAAGTGTCAGCACCAGCAAACATTAAGAGCTCCTACAATGTTCATATAAAATACTACCAAATGACACCTCCAATGCTCTCAACCAACTAACTATATTCCGTTATTTATTTATCTTTTGGTTCGGTCTCATTTTCCTCACTAAACGCACCATGGGCTTCACTAGCTGCATTTATTACCCTTTCAATTATAGATATTACCTTTGCAATCTTTCCTAAAGCAGGAAGAGGATCAACAGCTGTTGATGAAGTGGTGCCAACCTGTGAGCATGAATGAAGAGCATTTTTGTAAACATCAGAAATTTTGATTTTGACGAATGGTAAAACACAAAAGACTTTTGCCATTGCCATCCAATATAAGAAAACAGTCAAAATTCATTTATGTAAATCATAGAAATTCAGTGTTGAGAATTTTCACCATATTAATATTAATTGGCCACTTCATACCATTTTAAAAATAAAACTGTGACAGTCCACATGCAAAATGTGCAAATCATACTGTTTAAGAGAATAAAAAGAAGGTAACAAACCATAAGTATTTTCAACAGCAAACAATCATGCAGTAGGACTTCATGCAATGACATAAAGAATGATGCGTGATCGCTTGAGCCAATGCTCATATCAGTTATTTAGTGTCATTTTTTTCTTGGGTATAATTTAGAGTATTCTCAAGTAATTTTGGGCTTGAGACTAATCTTTGTCCATTATTAGTGTCGAATTTGGCAACTTCAGAGCTTTTTTTCTGTTTTTTTTTTTGGGGGGGGGGTTGTTATTGAATTTAAGAACTCGCAGAGCAGGTGGATCAGAAAAAGTTAGTGCATTTGATGTAAAGAGATGTCTCAGAGAAATTCGGTTCTTACTGTAGCACATAAGAAAAAAGGGATTAAGCCGCTGGCAATGTCATCTGAAATTGCTTCATAAAGTACATCAGGAGAAAGCGCATAATTTGTGGAAGGATCAGTTCTAAGCGACCTGCAGAGCTCTGGATTGAGTCCTCCTATCTGACAAATTAGCAGCAAATAACATTATTATTAAATCACAGAAATGATCTTGTCAACTTCAATGCAAACTTCATTGTTGCCACTGAGTAACATAAATGAGTTCTTCTTTTTCAGTATGCAGAGTTCAATGCCGGACTAATCCCATTGATTGCCACCCAGTTCCTCTATCACTTATTTCGACTTAAGGAATATAAAGTATTTTGTAACAAATACAGTATAAAGTAAAATAACCAGACAGTCTGACCAAACACACTGTAGTTGCAAGATCATAGGGTGATCGAAACCCACAATGATTATAGGGAAGAAAGGACAAAGGGACCTCGGCACTTCGTAATTCTAGTAAGCAGATTCAAAGATGTTACGTTTGTTGATTGGATTTAAGAAGGGCGATGTAGTTGGCAGTCAACCTGAGGACTGGTAGAAGGAACAATTGAGAAAGCCATATGCTTTTGAATATATATATTCTTTTTGTTTTTCACTTTTTCTTTGTATTGTTGAAGGTACCTGACAAGCTTTGAGTAAAGAAGAGTGTGTTTGATCGGATGCATACATCACAAGCTTAGGGAGGGCACTCTTTCCAACCTTCCTTAAGATCTTGTGACGGGCAGCCAACAAGACAACTAATACAGCTTCACTTGCTGTTCCTTGTATAACTCCACCACCTTGCCCTGCAGTATAATTTTAAACATAACCTCCTTCATTTCATAGGTACAATGAGAGCATACCAAATAAACTATTCAAATCCATGTACATTCAAAATCATAAGATTGATCAAATTAATTGAGGATACAGTTGAACAGAACCTGAAGCATGATTTTATATCTTCATCAAAAATCAGGTTTTTCATTGGCTCCATCAACGTAGATACTAAATAGACAAGCTAGGAAGTAGGCTAACTCATACCATATACACAAGCACAAATATGTAAGCAGTTAAACATAATCCCTGAAGGAGTCCCAGTCCCTCACTTTCGGAACTATGTCATCTTTCTTCTGATTTATGGTGTTCTTTTTACTCGTATCAAATTCATTCAAAGAGACGCGGTAGCTTAAGGCTTTACCAGTAGAACAGAAATGATCAGGCAGCTGAAATGCCTTAGCAAGCCAGTCAAGAACTATCATTTCAAGTTCAGTTGCTGCAGGAGAAGTTATCCAGCTGAAACCCACAATGTTGAGACCAGCGCTGAGCATTTCTCCCAGAAATCCAGCAATGCTACTGTTTGAAGGAAAATATGCAAAATAATTTGGGCTTTGCCAATGAGTCACCCCTGGCAGTATCTTTTCCTGAACATCTAATAAAAATGACATGTTTTAGCCATCTTTGTGGGGGGAAATTTCGTTATCTATTAGGTAAACTGGAGCATTGTCTCGTTATGATCTGCATTGTTAGAATAGTAAAATTTACATAAACGGACTAAAGAAATCTCACCAATCAAAATGTCTTGTAGTGATTCAGGATGATTAGGTGCAGAATCTGGTAGAAGCTTCACAAGATACCCCGGCTGCAGTATGCGAGAAAAATATGGAGAAACTGATACATGGTCATAATATGGAGAAAGATTGAAAGAAAGGATCAGATAGAAAGACCGCAGAGTTACTCAATAAAAGAAGAGCGTCCCACGCACATATTTCACAGAAGTTTTGTATCCTCCCTTTCCAATTGCAAACATGTTCTTTAAACAGTATTTTTCATTTAGCTATAACGCACCATAAACGATCATGCAAATGAAAGAAACATTTTGAAGTAAAAAATGCGGAAAACTTTACAACCTCAACTTGGCTGAGAACAGGGAAATTTTCGATGGTTTTATAGTAATCAGCAATGAAATCCACCATCTTATGAGCCTGCTCTCTGAGCTGCTCAGCGTCCATCGGCCTCAGCTGACTCTCCCTAGACATTTATCAACTGCAAAGAAATTCAAAGATGAGACTATAAATTGAACGAAGCACGGAAATTGCATCACTTATTTCATCTATTATATTTCATGAATGAAAATTGGCAATGCGTGATCATCCACACTCGCTTTTATAGATATGGAGATAGAGTTTAATGCTCCGTGTTCAGCACTTACATTTCTTTGGGAAGGATGAAGAGCTTTGACAGAGAAAACTATGTCGACTGAAATACTGTATCAGCTCCCGCGCTCCAGACAGTCAGTGGTGCAGCGGAGAACACTTCATATCCAACCAATCCGACGATGATTTCCGCCAAAAAAAAAATCAATTAATTAATTAATTAAAAATTACTCTCCCTTGTTGTATGTATAAACTTTAAATAACTGAATTATGTTTAACGAATTAACAACTAAAATTAGTTAAAAATAATAAATAAATCAGAAATATATTTTTTTAAAAAATTTGTTTTTATTTATTAAAAAAATAAATAAGGGAGACAATAAATTAAAAACAATAAAAAAAATATATGGAGGTAATATTAATTAATAAGAGAGAAAGTACTAAATACAGTTAACTAAGAGTAAAATAAAAAAAAAAGTAATAAATACTCAAACAAACTTAAAAATAAAACTTACATTTTAGTTCACTCTATTTCAAAAACAAAGTTTATATACAGGACCAAAGGGAGTAAAAAAAGAATCATCAATATAACTATCACGTGCGGCCTTGTAGCTCACCAGGCTTGCCCAGCACCAGCATTCTTTATTAGTGACACTTCATCCTTTCACCCAACAAAATAAAATGAATTAAAAATAATATCACGTGTGAATCCATGTATGTAATATAATACTCCTTCTATTTTTAATATAAGATCTATTTTATGAACTATTTTGTCAACTGGAGGAGTAATATATATGTGGTTGAGGTCGGCAAATTTTATGTTATACATTTCTCTGCATGTTGAGCATGCGAGTATGATTTTGGGTTGAAGTTTTTTGAACTTCTTTTGGGAAGTTATCATTCCCACGTATAATGACAACTAACTTTGATGGTTCCCTCTTTTCGACGAGGGGGAAACAGAGGGATTTGAAATAGGTTACTACAGAGAGAGAATGGAAGGAACTGTTGAGAAGTTCATTACATTGATAGATTGTAAATCCTACAGGCTATGATACATTTAGTTGCAACCAAAAATCAAAAAAAGAATGCTGTGAACTAGGTGTTTGCCTACTTTTGCCCCAAATATTCTTGCCCAAGATTCTTTACAGTGGAAGTGGTATGAGCTTCTTCTTAACGTCGTTGAAAATTAAACATCTTTATGGATGTAGCAAAGATGAGAGCGAACACTACAGCAAATCCAACCACCACAGCTGCAACCACTCCAAGAAAATCATGCTTGAAACCAAAGTAATTTCTCAGGAATTCTTCCACTGTTGAACCTGAGCCATTGGACTGAATAGGGTCCTTTACATCTCCAAATTGTGATGCTACCAATCCATACAAGCTCCAAGCTACTGGATTTGCCCAGTAGTACCATCTCCACCATACTGGGATCCTCTGTTCATCATAAAAATAGACAAGAACCATGGAACATAAAATCAGTTAAACATGCATTTCTTGTGTTTCAGGTAAAAGCTGGCACTAAATGTTGAGGAAAAACCAGAACTTACTGGTCTTGGAATAATGAATCCTGAGAAGAGATTCCATATTGAAAAGAATGCAGATGAAACTATAGAGGAAACGTGCTGGTTTGGAGTCATTGCCACGGACATCATGCCATAGAAGGTGAAGTACAGGAAGGTGAAATATGTGAAGAATAGGTACCAAAAGACTTTTGTGACTGTCCACTCAAAGCCAATCATTGCATAAACTACAATGCCGTACACCACAGCCTGTAGAAGAATATATGGGAGTTCAATCAACACCTGCAAGAAAATACAAAGATCAGAATAATAATAAGGCAAAATTTTCACATGGAAGGAAGTTAAGATAAAAAAGTATCAGAAAAGTGTTGAAGTAAGAAATTGCGTGCCTGTGCAAAAGCATACGGCAAAGCCGAATACATTCCGGCAGCTCTTTCCCGGTAAAAGACTGTTCGCTCAACAGCCACCACGGGTTGGACTGCATTAGCATTCTTAATGCCAAGAAATAGAACGGCAGCATACATGGATCCCATCGCATTGAAAATGTCCTGTTGCTTTTTACTGCAAATCAATGTGAAAATTTAAGCTTCAGAACAAGAGAAAACTAGAGTTCAAAGCCGTGACTGTTCCTTAATTTCCAGTCTGATCTTACATGTTGGATCCAAGGTTCCAGAACATGCTCCCAAACAAGACAGACACAGAAGCTGAGAAGAGGAATCTTATGGCAGTGTATAAAGGATTGCGCCAGTAAGACCAATATTGTTTCCATAAGCAAGCCATGCATTGGGTGAAGAAGGATTGTGAGTACTGAGTTGGAAAATAAAGGTCCTTTGAACCAGGAGCTGGAGTGCTCAATTCTTTAATAAGTTCTTTGTTCCTCCTGAAACACATGCCACAAAATAGTTTTCATTAGAGGGTATTACATACCATGAGTAAGCTCTTTTAATAAGGTTATTTTTTCAGTTGTTTTGCTCTGCTCAATTCAAGATACCTGTATAGTTCTGAATTTTTATACACCTCAGCAAAATCAACCCTTAATTCAATTTCTTTTCCTGAGCTTGTAACTTCCAGCATCCATGTTGCTGGATTATACCCATCTTTGATTTTACTGACACCTTGAATTCCCTTCATGAAAAAAGCATGCTTTTCAGCAAAACTATACTACTGAGACAGACATAAATATGCATCATTTACTAAGGTATTCTCTATGTTTCACAACACTCTTACCTCAAAGTAGCTGATTAATTGAGAAGAATGGTGTCCCACAGGCCCCACGTATATTTCCCTCCCTCCTTGCTTCATTAGGAAAAGCTGCATTTTAGTGAAAAAAAGAAGTTAAACACTGTGATATGGACGAGAACCGTTTAAAATTGAAACAATGCTTTAATATTTGCGTATCTCACCTCATCAAATGATTCAAATATATCAATGCTAGGCTGATGAATGGTGCATACGACAGTTCTTCCAGTGTCTACTGTGTTCCTAACCGTTCTCATGACAATAGCAGCTGCTCTGGCATCTAGCCCAGAAGTTGGCTCATCCATGAATATTATAGAAGGATTAGCTACTAGTTCAACTGCAATAGTTAATCTTTTGCGCTGTTCTGTCGAGAGACCATTTACACCAGGTAATCCAACCAGTGCATTCCTTAATGGATTCAGTTCCACAAGTTCCATGACTTCCTCAATGAACATCTGCGAACATTTGGAATTTCCCAAATTAGAAACATAGGTAAAGTAAAGCATCGAAATTTTTGTAGCTTGTAAGGTTTTGGGATTCAAATGCAAACCTTCCTAGTTTCAGCATTAACATCTGGCGACAATCGAAGCCATGCTGAATAGAGCAAGGATTCATATACGGTAACATGAGGAGAGTGGATATCATTTTGCTCACAGTATCCAGAGATTCGAGCAAATGTTTCTTGCTTTTTTGGATATCCAGATATTGTGATGTTCCCTCCAACATATCCTCCTGTTTTTCTCCCAGCAAGTACATCCATCAAAGTTGTTTTACCAGCACCAGTGACGCCCATTAGTGCAGTGAGAACACCTGGCCTGAAAGCTCCACTAACAACCTTCAAAAGCACCAACCTATCCTCAACAACACCTCGGCTCTTCATTTCCTACAAGTTTAATGCAATGATTCAGTAGAATATGTCTACAAATATTACTTTTATATTGAAAACAAGCCTTGTTACATTACCTGTGGCATGTCAACAGAATATGTTACTTCATCAAAAGTAATGGAATGTGGTTCAAAAGGAAGAACCATTCCTCTTTTCCTGTTATGATTTGTCTCCACACCAGCTTCTCCCCTTGTGAATTGATTATCTCCCACTGCTCAATTTTCAACCCCGTAAGCTATAATGTGAAAATAAGAATGAACTATCATTCACACAAAGATCATCACTTGTACATTTGTTTTGAAGATCAAGTACCTCTCTTTGAGTGGCGAACCGAGCTAGATTTTCTGTCCTTCAGTAGACTAGCTCCATTACTACCATTATCCTGCCCAGTTCCTGGAGACTGCTCTGATTTCACAGCCTGATGTTTTCCAAGTGCTGCATAATCCGTTGAGAAAATCAGCACACTAACTCTCCCTTTTTTACTGGTAAAAGAACATATAAGGTGCAAAGAAACTCACGGTTGAGGTAAGTGAGAGATATTATGTAGCCTATGTTGAACAATAATGTATATCCAGCCAATGCTCCAACCCCAATCCAATACCAGTATGACTCCGTAAAGAATCCTCGAGATTTCAAAACTTGAACTCCTAATGGTTCCGCTGAGCCAGGAAGGACCTTTCATGGGACATTATATCAAGACATCAATATATATATATATATGGGATTAGACTAGCATAATAATGCACGTATGTGTAAATTATGAGCTTACCTCGCTCCATTTATTCCCCAGGAACTCATTATTCACTACGGCATTCTGTCCATACATCAACGGTGATATCCAGAATCCCCAGATCCACCATTTCTTTATATTATCTGTGGCATAAAGCAAAGAAAACAGAAGAGCGTTTTAAGTACAAAACATCATTAGAGAATAGAGGTTAGTATCATCTTGTCTTTGTGATTATGATACCTTTTGACAGGACAAAACCACCCATGGCAAAAAGAATAGCCAGTGAAAACGATCCAAATGTGAGAGCCACTGTCATATCTCTACCAACTGCTGCGATAAATCGGAATAGTCCAGAAGCCATCTGGTTTACAAGCGCGAGAATAAGGAATTGTCTGAACAATCTGCAGTAGGTAGGCACATGCATATTATTATACACTTAGCAGGATTCAAACTGAAGGGAGTTTGAAAAACTCGAGTATTGCTCTTTTAAAGTTTTACCTTCCAACATTTGGATCAAATCCAATGACATAGTATGTGAGGAATACCCAAACACCCACTTCCATAATCGTTAAGGGGATTTTGAGGATCCACGAAGGAAGAGCGTATGCCCATGAAGGGAAGAAGAGAAAATCCCTTTGCTTGTAGAACACGGGAAGCCTTGAAACTGTCATGGTAAGCTCAGCCATTCCGTTGAACAGAAGCACAATGACAGCAAAGAATAATGCACCAGTATATATCCCTCCATCTGTCACTGAATCCCTATGCATCTCGGTCCGGAGGAAGATGGTCATGGCAATAATTGCCATAAAAGCAAGCTATAAAGATTAAAAGGAAACAAAAAAAAAAAAGGTTAAAAATTGAAATTGAATGGTATGCAAGAAGCAGTAGACTTTAAGGTGAAAGCCCCAAGAGCCTAAACCTACTTGGAAAGCCTTGAAGACGTAGACAAACGAATTGCGCTTCATGAGTAAATATTCTCTTGATAAGCAAGCTTTTAACAGTTCCCTTTTTCCTACTCCATACTTTTTGGTTGTTAAAGCAGCGGGATGGCTCTTGGACTTGTCAAAAGGAGTGGCCAGTTCATCTCCAAATCTTCTCCCAACATGAAACGATTGAAATGCCTCTGCAAACTCTGTGGCAGTGACAAACCTATAAGGCTGATCTTTGTCTGCCCAGTACTGTTCTTGATCTTTCCTTGATGTCACCTGTAACATATCACATTGTTACTTAATTCAGTTCAACCGTGCGTCTAAACTATCTTGACAGATTGAAAGAAGATTAATTTTCACTTACTTCTTGCAAGAAGTCTGCCACGCCTTTTCTCTCAGGGCATTTGAATCCCATTGATTCAAAGAACTCAAGAACGTGTTCACGGGGACCCTGATACACAATATGGCCGTCCGAGAGTAAAATAATGTCATCGAAGAGATTATAAGTCTCTGGTGCTGGCTGTAGTAGTGAGATCACGGAGGTCCCTTTGAGAATATGAACATATTGCTTGACTGAATTCACAATTTGATAAGTTGTGGAGCTATCCAAACCCGTGGATATTTCATCCATGAGAAGAGCTCTAGCTGGTCCAACCATCATCTCCCCTATAATTGTAAATCATTTCATTATTCGAGATTCTTATATGATCAATTCTTTGAGACAAGTAAACAAAGTATGCTTTAATATTGGAATGAAGCTTTCTTTACCTGTCGTGACACGTTTCCTTTGTCCACCAGATATGCCTCTCAACATTGCATTTCCGACAATTGTATCTGCACAGACCTCCAGTCCCAGAATCTGTATGTTTAAACCAGAGAGAGGAACAGAAAATAACGTTAAATTGTGTGGTGGGTGTAAGAAAATGTGACAACATTTTGTATTGATTTTACCTTTAGAACATAATCTGTTATCAAATTTGCTTTCTGGCCTTCTGTTGCTACTGCCTGAACATTATGACACTTGAAAATCAGAGACAGAAATAGAGATTCCCTAAAATTTTAGTATAATAATAAGTTGTATTAAATTTCATTACCTTCATGTAGACGTCTATGTCTGGATCAGGCTTTATGTTTGCCTCCTTTTCTCTTCTTGACAACTCTGCTAGCAAGTCTGCAGAATGCATTATGAGATATGGTCAAAACTCAAAACTTACTTTTCATCTGAAATATCAGCCAATGATTTGAATACCATAGTTGATGAAACATTAAGAAACAGTCAATCTTATGAGAGACTAACCATAACGAGGCCCAACTCCTTGGCATCTAGCTGAGAAGGCTAAGGTTTCTCTAACTGTCATTTCTCCGACATGAAGATCATTTTGACTGACATACGCTGCAGTTCTCTGAGGCACAAACTCGTTCATCTCATGACCATTATAATTCACTTTTCCTGAGAACTGATCAGGAAGGACATGTTACTTCATTAGTAACAGATCCGAAAAAATAAAAAAAATAAGAAAGATTTGAAAATCTAGTTAAACAAATCGATTATGTCTTCTTCTGTCCTGACCTTAAGTTTTGGATCCAGCCTTCCAGCCAAAGCCAACAGGAGCGTTGTCTTCCCAGAACTTGGAGGGCCCAAAAGCAACGTCAATCTGTGGAGAGAGGAAATTAAGGACTCGTTATATTAGAGCTTCATCATGAAAAGGATAGTTGCAGAAATATCACATATCAGAATAAAACCAAGTTTCTTACCTCGCTGGCTTGATTATTCCACTAACATCCTCCAGGATATTTATATGTTGTCTTTTACTGGGAATTACGTGAACCAAGTTCAGTAGACCCTGTTGGGAAAAACAATATGCGTGTGAGAACCTTTACAATAAAATGACGCAGAAAGGTCCTTTATTTAAGTTGAATGTTCACAAAACATGCCTCCAGTATATTAACGATGAAGTTGGAGAATGAAGGCAAAGCTCTGCTTCCTACGTGAGCTTCGGCTTCGACTTTCAAGTGCTGAAACCGAACTTCTATCGTAGGAATCTGGATCCCAACTCTGGAGGAAGAAGAGAAGCCATCAGAGAGTTTGAAACAGAGATATCATTGAAATAAATTGAGAAATGAAAGCGAGATCCTCACCTGTCAATTCGATTCCTGAGCTTGAGCAAGAACTTCTCATTGTCCTCTTCAATTACTTTGATTAACCTTTCAAGCAAACTCCTCCTTTCTTGTAACCCAAGTTTATGTATATCAATCTCATTGGCCTCGCCGTCCGGTGAAGTCAACAAGCCTTTCCTCAAACGAGCAACGGTCGGAAGTTTCTCAATAGCAGCCCATTTAAGAGCTTCTTCATCGTCTTCCTGGTGGAAGGAGTTTGAGAAAACATCCATATCTGTATTCCTCCATAGCGATGAACTCGCTATCCCGAAACTACTCTTGCTCGCTGTTCTGAAACTACCGTCGCCATCCTCCATTGATGAACCAACACAATCAGACAAAAGCTCAAGCTTCGTCTGTTTAAACCCAGTAATTATTTTCCCAGAAAAAGAACTGAGATGTTATTTATATATGCTTTTATGTTTGTATATATCTATCTGAATGAAGAGCTGTGTGAGTTGCCGCCGATATCGTAGCGTATATATACATAGAGAAAGTTGTGGGAGTTTCAGAATCGTCAAGTATGGTGGGAATCCTTGGCTGCACATATTTTTTTTAGAATTACGTCAACTGGGATGTCACGTATCGTCACCTGCGCTGTTATGTTTTTTTTTTTCCCCTCTCTCCCGGGGGACGAAAAGAAATAAATAAATAATTAAATACATAACTGATTGTTTGTTCGGACCTTTGAAAATCAAAGAGAATTAAAGTCAGATCGAAACCGGTTAACAGACCCTTAAAAGCCGTTGACCGCTTAAAATATTTTAACAAAGTGACCCTTTGTTTTTTTGAACCTAAAAGTGAGCCCGTTTTAATTAACAACAATAATGCCACTCTTCCGGCTGCTGTTTTTAAGAAATGACCTGCTGAGAAACGTTAAGATTTTATTAGATCTGTTTTAAAATACTCCTCCGGTCCTTATTATAAGACCCAATTTGACTTTTTATTTGGTCCTAATTATAAGACCCAATCCATTTTTTCTCTTATATTTATATATTTTTTTCCAAGATAATCCTTCTAATAATGATAGTTTTAGCCAATATACTTAATTAGCAAGGATATTTTAGGAATGACAACACTTATTTATTATAAATAACCAACTTAACTTACTTCCTTAATCTCCTCAAATAAGTCAATTGGGTCTTATAATTAGGACCGGAGGAGTATAATAATTTTTCCACTCCGCCCCTTATTTAATAGAAATGAAAATTGAAGAATAATAAATTACTTTAGAAATAAATTTGGGAAAATCTCACAAGAAAATAGAAAAGTACTAAAACCCAAACAAAGATTGTTTTCTAAACTTTCATCGGCTTTGATTATACTTGATTTGCAAATCAAAACACATTTTTTTAGAAACTCTTGATTTGAAATTTAGGTTTTTTTGAATAAAAACTAAATTATTTAGCGAGATAATTGATATTAAAAATAAAAAAAATATTTTCTGTATCCTAAAATAAGACCGGAGCGGTCATTGTCAATCGCGTGTCTCTGTCCTTCTTTGGCTTTCCAGCTATTTAATTATTAATCACTAATTATAATGTATTTATAATTTAAGTGGTTATAATTGTGCAATTGTCACGCGTTGCCCCCGCTTCTTTTCGAACAAGAAGCTTACTGCCCTTTATGTTCATACCATGCTTGGCAAAAGTGCCAGTTCACCCACTCCTAGCAATGAATCGTCCATCTTTAATTTATAGCATTGACTTCGGGGGGGAAAAAAAAGAGCATTGAGTCAAAAAAAAACTCAATTTCTAGTATAATATAATAAAAAAATTGCATGGCTGATGATAGTCGTGAATAACATGGCTTAACTGCTCATTTTTAAGACTTCATATCGAACACTTTATGAAACAAAACATGTGGTCATATAAATAGATGGCAATATATATATATAGTGTTATAATTTTATATTGAAAAATTCTAGCTTTTTAATGGGCGATTATTAGTGAACATAAGGATAAATCATTGTCTATCTCGTGAATTTAATTTATATTTTTCACGATTTTAAAAGAAAAATATTTAGAATATTTGTTAGTTTTTGTGAGGAGGCTTATATGTGTGTGTGTGACATATTGTATTTTGACTCGGTTTTGAGCCATCAAATTATATACTACATCCAGTTTTTAATTAATATAATAGTTAATTTGACATTTAATTTTATTTTTCATATTTATCCATTATATATATTATCGTCTCATTATCTATTATTATTTCAGATGAGAAATATATGTCGGGTCACAATCATTTGTGCATGATAACAATGAAGTGTGAAAAAGATTATTTGTAGAGGGGCAGGTCAAGTGAATCAAATCTTTCATGTGAACGAATCTGAACACGTATCATGATCGCGTTCAACTGGGCAACGTCACTGTTTAGTACATATATGTTACGAAATATGCGATGTTTCAGACAAAGTAGTAAAAGTAAATTGAAACAAGGAATTAAACAAACTTGGCTTAGCTTGCACGTACGTGGATTTTATTAATTAATCCGAGCGAAAAATGACATTGTGAATGCGATTTCGACTTCTCTTTTAGTGTTTAGAAGCGTGTCAGATGTTTCTTCAGGATCGTCAAACGTATTCTTTGGTTCCTTTATTCAATTTGTATGAATTTGTCAGGGAGCTGCCACTAATGAACACATACTACTACGTTGTTTTTGTTGGAAGCAAATGATGTGTGATTCGGATCGGATCAGATAACGATTTGGTCACATTTGGATGGCTCTTGAGTTCATTAACGGCATCACAATAATTCACTGGGTAACCTGCATGAATCATGACCGAAATTTCAAAGTATATTTATGGGGAGACATTTAATATTTATATATATTGATGAATTGAATTGAATTTCCCACGTTTAAAACAGCTCGTGGGATCTTCGAATCAGAAGGAGGGCGTTTAATTCCAGCTTGATCAGCAAGGAATCTGTTTAACTATTGTTTAATTATAATTATAATTTTAATCCTGGATAGTGTGCTATTTCTATACGTATATATTGTATATACAAATATATGCAATGCTTTTTGTACACGTGAATGTCTCACCCCAAACCTAATGGCGTCACCAGTGATGTCGCGTGCTTTGCTTTTCTTAATTACTCCTCCAGTCTTTAATATAGAACATAATTATTGAGTTAGTTTTGGTTCTAAATATAATACCTATTTCTCATATTTATCAGTTTTCTCTAAATTACCCCTATAAATACTTCCTCAACTATAATCAAGTAGAAGAGGAAGATGGTATTAAGAAAGATGATTATGGTATTTTAGGAAAAACGTGTCATATTTCTTATAATTAACTAACTTATCTAACTTTCGTAATCTAATCAAACTAGTTAAATGGATCTTATATTAAGGACCGCAGGAGTATTATTTCTTCTGTTATTAATATAAGATTTATTTAACCAATTTAATTATTAAAAAGTTAGGTTAGTTAATTAATTATAATAAATATGATATTTTTTTAAATATGCCAATCATTTTCTTTAACATCTTCCATTTCTTTCCTACTTAATATGGATGAGAGAGTATCAATATGGGTTTTTTGGAAAAAAAATTGATCAATAATAAAACTAGATCTTATATTTAATACAAGAGGAGTACTATTGTTGCTGATGTTGCCACATCTTCCATTTCTTTCCTACTTATTATGGATGAAAGAGTATCAATATGGGTTTTTTCCGAAAAAATTGATCAATATTAAAAATAGATTTTATATTTAATACCAAGATGAGCTCGATTAATTAAATCCTATGTTAAAGACAAGAGAAGTACTACTGCTGCTGCTACTGCTACCACTACCACCACCACTACTACTACGACTACTACCACTACTACCATGACTACTACCACCACTACTACCACGACTACTACCACCACCACTACTACTGCTACTACTACGACTGCGACTACTACCACTACGACTACTACTCCACCACTACTACTGCCACTACTACGACTACGACTACTACTCCACCACTACTACTGCCACTATTACGACTACGACTACTACTCCACCACTACTACTGCCACTACTACGACTACGACTACTACCACCACGACTACTACTACCATTACGACTACAACTACTACTACCACCACCATTACTGCTGTTACTATGACTATTACTATCACTACCACCACCACTACTGCTGCTACGACCACTACCACCACCATCATTACTGCTACTACCACCACTATTACTGTTATCACCGCTATTATTACTGTTACCACTACCACTATTGTTGTTACTGCTGCTGTTATCACTACCACCACCACCACCACTAATAATTCATTTGGTATCCTGCATGAATCGTGAACGAACGAAATTTCAAAGTATATTTATGGGAAAACATTTTAATATTTGTATATATGTTAATGAATTGAACTGAATTTCCAACATTTAAAAAGCTCGTGGGATCTTCAAATCAGAAGGGGGGCGTTTCATTCCAGCTTGATCGACGAGTAATCTGTTTAACTATTATTTAATTATAATTATAATTTTAATCCGGGGTAGTGTCCTATTTCTATACGTATATATGATATATACATATGTATATGTAATGTTTTTTTGTACACGTGTACGTCTCACCCCAAACCAAATGGCGTCACCAGTGATGTCGTGTGTTTTGCTTTTCTTAATTATTATTTTCCCAGTTCTTAATATAAGATTTATTTATTAATTTGATTAGATTTAAAAAGTTAGGCAAATTGATTAATCATAATACATATGACATATTTTTTTTAAACATGCTATTTTTTTAAAAATATCCTCTCTTTCTTTCTTACTTATTATGAATGAGAAAGCATCGATAGAGATGATTTGAAAAATTAATCACTATTAAAAATAGGTCTTGTATTTACTATCAAAATCAACTCTATAAGTAGGTCTTACGTTAAGAACTGTATTATTATTATTATTATCCGTAGGAGACAAGAATTCTAAGCTAATTTTAAAACAACACACAGACTCACGAGCTTTTATCAGATTGCTTAATAGACTCACCTATACTGAATACTGAGACATGGTAAAATATTTTTGTGTGCTTACGGAAACTGATTAAAAATCAAATGCTCGCATCAAATTATTTTGTCAGGGCAGGGCACTGGTGTGTTACGTCATCTGGATTAAAAAAATTTTAAAAAATAAATACTGTGAAAAGAAAAAAAATACAAATAGCTGATTAGGATTTTGATGAAATTATAAAAACCTAATTGATTGAAAATCAGATACATTTTTAAAACTTTTAAATAATTTTAATTTTTAATTAAAAAAAAAAGTGGCCGACAGCTAGGAGGCAAGCTCAAAGATGTTTAAAGGAGGCTGTCGTTCGGCCCAAGAAAATGATGCCGCCGATTTCCGGGTGAGGATGGCAGGGTAAATTACAGGCATGTTTGGGAGGGTTTAAAAAATTTCTTACAAGTCTTATACTATCTCTTGTCTTTAATATAAGATCTTGTTTGATTTTTATTTTGATCCTGAATATAAAATCCCAATCCATTTTGTTTATCATATTTATATATTTTTTTCTAAGATAATCCTTCTAATAATTGTAGTCCTAGCTAATATAGTTGATTATTAAGGATATTTAGGAAAGACAATACTATTTATTACAAATAACTAACTTAACTTCTTTCCTTAATCTCCTCAAATTAGTTAACTGAGTCTTATAATTAGGACCGGAGGTAGTATTTCGTAACTTACTATTAAAAAACTACTTATAAACTATTTCTAAATTGTTTCAAACGGGCTTTATATCACTCTCCTCTGCAAACAATTACATTATCTTTCAATTTACTCTGCGTTATTAAATCAATTTTGGCGTGGCATATTTTTCTCATGAAGAATAAAAGCATTCAAATCCTCTCGTATCTGAGTTAAAAATAAAATTACAGTACTGCATGGAATTTTATAATCAAATAGGGGGAAAGAAATGATATGCTTCAGCAAGAAATTTATAAGAATACAATTATATACACATCAAATATCAAATAAATGAATTATAAGTAATTAAATCAGCATTTTTCATGCAAAGTTCCATGATCTTCTCAATATAGAATTTAAGGAGGAAAAATAAAGAGAAACGAAGAGAGCTAACATAGATACATTTAAATAGAAGAATTAAAATGGGGCAATCTTGCACGCAAGAGATGAAGAGCTGTCAAAAAAAGCAAATAGTTTATTTATTAATTTTTTACGAAAAAACTTAATTCATTTTTCGGCCAAAAACATGGAAATTTTTGTTTTTTTCACAAGAAGAAGGCAAAACTCAAGTCTGACGTCTGAACATATCCACGTGTGACTTGGTGGCAGTTTGGCACGGCAGATGCGAGACCAAATTACGTACTCAATGACGTCAATAATAGGATGATGTCATGCCCTCCGGTTTTTATTGAGATAAAAAGTTGGAAATAAACAATTTTTGGAAAAGACGGCTCTATGTCTGGTTCTGTTCGTCGTTTTGGATGACCCTCTTAAAATCAATTCACAACTTGGTCCTCTTTCTAAATTACAAGTACGTGAAACGGTTTAAACCAATTAAATTAAAATGAAAGTTAAGAGCGAAAGTGGAGACCTATTTTAAGCGTGGAGTCTTTATTTGACTTTTTTTTTTTTAATTTTGTCTCTTTTGGCAGTTAACCAATGGTTTTTACGTTGTTATGTTGACGCAACCTCAGGATATTATCCCCAGCGTTAAATAAAAAATAATTAAAAAAGTACGATGACGTCATGTACTGGCCGCTGGGCCCGGGTGATCAGCTTGAACCAGTTAAAATGACTAATGAGCGCCTGACAACCGCTCAAAACAAATGGGCACGCCTATACTTTTACGAAGATCATTATGAGTGCAAAAAAAAAAAAAAAAGACAAAAATTTAATTCAGTTGTTAAGGAACTGTTCATAATTCGCAAGATCAATATAATGATTTATAATTGTCTCTGTGAATGCTTTTGAAATCTGAAAACATAACTTAGCCTTGTTTTTTTTTTTTTTTTTACCAGGGATAACTTAGCCTTATTAAAGGGTTAATATAATATTTGGTCCATTAAATTTGTTTTATTTTGATTTTAGTCTTTCAAATTTTAAACAATAGGTCTTGGTCTCTCTATATGTTAAGTTTTTATTAGATTATAGAGATCAATATTTTAAATAGAAAAAAATTTGAGGGATCAAAATCTATAGTTTAAAATTTGAGGGACCACAGTCAAAATGAGGGTAAATTTGAAGGAAAAAGTTTATATTAACCCCTTGTTAAATCCCAAAACCTAGCTCCACTGAACTTTTTTCATATAAAAAACGAGCTTTGACCGTTAACAACTGTTCCCTTTCTCGTTTCTGCACATTAGTTAAATGAGTCACCAAAATTTAGTTTTATCCCATCACCGTTAGAAGCAAGGTTCCAGCCTTCATTTCTTCCACCTTCTTCATATCATCCCAATACTCAGCAGTAGTACTCTTTTTTTTTTTTTTTTAAGTATAGACTAGGGTATTCACTCTCAATGGTAGTCAATAGTAGTGATTAATCCTTTTGTTGTGAGACGTCCACTTAGGGGTAAATAGCTAAGGATGGGATTCGAACACCACACCAACTGAAGTAATCTCTCGATCACAATTCATGTGGTTCAGCAACAGTACTCTTTTGCAATCTGAAAACTGCTCTTTTAAGGTCCACATCTAATGTCCTTGGGCTCAAGGGCCTTTGATACTGTACTCGAATTTTTTAAAACGCTCAATCGTGCTCACACAAATTATATTGTTTTTTGTGAAAATTATGTATTCATTGTATTATTATAGAAGCTTTATGTTTATTATACTTTGACTAAGCAATTAAAGAAAGGATAAAAGTGCAATTTTACCCTTGATTTCTTTTTGTGCACTCCTAAAAAGATCAGGAGTAACTTGCAACTGATCTTATAAAATTGCACCTTTACCCTTAAAAAAAATAAAGCACATGTACAAATGTTTAAATAATCTCTTTTCTTTCGTATGATACATAACCTACTGGGAAAATTGCCTGTTCTCACAATTATTGAACTTGAACGTCCAAGTCAAAGAAAGATCCCTCCATTGAAAAGTAGGGATGCTTTGATTCTTTTCTTGGGAGTCACAGCGTAGATAATCAATGCTGGGGCATTAGCAGTCTACTAATATTAACATAATACCAATTGATTTCCTATCACTCCAAGCACAGGACCATTTACTGGCATCTGGAGATGACCAACAATGTCTTCCTCTCTATGAACGATCCATGTCCAACAGATAATTCTGTTGCACTCCATGATCCTAAAATAACGTGTCATAGCCATTCTCAAAGCTCGACAGACGGGAGTCTGATAGAACAGTGAAAAGCTGTGTATCTACAAATAGCTGCAAACTCAAACCATTCGTAATCAACAAAAGCTTATCCATTTTTAGAACCATCTATGAAAAATGGATAAATTAAAAAATATTAGGAATGGATTTACTTAAAAATATGCCTCACATGTTTACACAATGTGCAGCATGTTTATTCATGATAGGATTGACTTGCCATTTAATCATTTATAGAAGTCTACTTAAGAGTTGGAGCCAGAGGAAAAAAAATGTTGTTACCTTGATGAATGGCTGGTCCTTAGCAGGAAAGGAATCAATGAAGCTATCTTTGAGAAGTAAAGAAACCTGGAAAAAGTAATCCAGGATGAGCCACGATCACAGCTCTAGCTATTTGTTCTCCATTGCTAGTGAATTTTTATCAAGAAATCGAATGAGCAATGACCTGGTTATCTTACCCTGTCGTTATCTGATTGTACACTAGTTATTGTATGGGATCTCAAATCAGAACAAAGCGACTCCAAGTAGTTGAACATAACATTTAAAAACTGGCTTGCTGCCTCAGCCTGCAAGCAAGTTCAAATTACCACTAGCCAACAACAGAAGAAGCACCGTGATCTAGAAAGCAGAAAAATTGCTGGTTTGTAGTGAACAATTCACAAGTATCTAAATTAAGCTTGGTCTCATTAGAGTTGAAAGGCTAGCTTTTTCTGCGATATTGGTTACTAAGGATTACATATATAGCCGGTTTTCAAGCTTCAATGCAGATAACATTCGAACATTCGAGTCAAGAAGAAAACTTGCAAGCAGAACAAGTAGTATGAGGTCTACAAAAACCTGGACTTCGTTGAACCTATATACAGGATGCTTTTTAGCTACGGTACTTGCACGTGAAAGTCTAGCATGGATTGGAGCTAACTGAGACGCAAGCTCTTTATGTTGTGGCAGTTTTGGCAGTTGACACGTGTGCACCTGCATAAACAATATGGGACGGTGAGGAATTGTGAAATTTGTTTAAGAAATTTCCAGCTACCTGATCGGATCACAATGTGATCATTATGAAATAACCCCCCCCATGCGATGGCATATATGATAGCGTATAGGGTTGACCCTCAGGGAAAACAGGAATGAAAATGCCATCTACCATCACTTTCTCGTCTATGAAGACAGTAATCCCAAATTATATTTGAATTCCATTTGCCAAAATTCTCCCAGGCAAACAAAATGAATGCAGATAGGAGTTCGATTTCAGACATGTTCCATGCATTTACCAGCAGTGTTTAGCAAAATTGAAGGCCAGGGTGATTGGGAAACAGAAAAGCTGCAAGGTATTGCATGGGATATCCTCTGGTTAGAGGACCCTTTAATTATGGAGTCCAGAAAATATATACCAGAGCTGCAGTGCAAATATTGGAATCTAAAAATGGTTATTAGCTAGGAATCTCGCCCACAAAGTATTTGTGTAACAAGCTCCCAACTGGTTTCCCACAATGCCACATGAATAAAATCTATCATTGAAAAGTCACTTGAGCCCAACAAACCTGATCCTTCAGCACATTAAGGTAAATGACATCAGTAGTTTTCATCTTGAAGTCTTCCGGTTTATGTTGTATGCCAACCTGCAAGGTAATCAAAGAAATAAATTAAAAGAGTATGGAAAAGAACAAGCATGGCTATTTCCCCACAAAAGGAAGTCATAGACTCTGCTTTCAAATGGGCCAAGTGGGGCTTCATGCACTTCCAAAGTAATTTAGAAAAGAAGAGATTTTGCAGCTGAAAGATAAGGAAAATTTTTACTTAAAATGGTTTGTGAACAGTCTGTGGAGGGAAGAGTGTGTGTGTATTTCATATACTAATACCAGGGTATCACTGACACAACTATAAGTAATGTCCATCACGTGAGCTGAATATGCAAATGCTGGATAATTAAAAGAGCAAAAGACTAATCATTAAAGATGCACCTGAAAGTATAAAGACTAGGGGGAGAACGGACAAAAAAGTTAGGGAAATCAATGTGAATATAAAATAGAAAATCTATAGCAAGTCACGTTGTATGCTAAGAACAGTCTAACTCATTCTTTAAATGTCAAGAAATACACAAGGGGGCCACCTAATTATCCCAGAAGGCAGAAAAGACATTCATATAATAAAAAAAGAATGAAAAATTTACCAATGGAATTTGAAGATTAATGTGGAGGTTGTCAATTATTCTGTTTTAGGCAACTGTTGTTTAAGCCGCTATTTACTTTAATTTTGAATCTTTATCATTTATTACAACTGCATTTGATTTTAGAATTCTAGAATATTCTGTCACTTTGGGTTTGGTTGAGACTCATAAATAGCGCCTTAACACATTTGTTTTGTACATCTTGAATGATATTAAATAAGAATTACATTTGCTTCCTCTCTGATCTCTCCTTTCCTTGAATCCCTCACTTTCTCTCCTCTTCCCCTCTCTCTTCCCCCCTTCCCCTTCCCCTTCCCCATTCTGCATCACAAAAAGTTTATAAATTTACATACCTAATGTTATTTATATTTTACATATCAAATAACTGCCATATGTAAGATAAGCTAAAGGATCGGTTTGAGATTGAACTGAAAAAAACCACTAAACACTAAGTTTAAACTATAGATAAAACAATAAGCCCAAACAAAAGCCTGGAGGAAGTATAATATCAGAGATTGATACTACAGTAAAATCAGCACAACCACAATACACAAAACCATAATTTTTTATAAATGCTGAATGAACTGGTTCTCACAATATATGGGACTGGTGCATCAAGAAAATCAAACATTGTCCCAGGTAAAACCTGAAAAACAAGGTACGTAGCTTTAGAAATATGTGAATGTGCCGCCTGAGATATCTGAAAAGGGGCATTGTTGAATGCTAATGAACTCACAGGTAAAAATAAACTCTGCCACTGAAATGGACGAATCATTGGAACAAGAGATAATACTGCAGCAGATAGAACACCCTGCATCATTACAAAAAGGCCAAAATAAATGGCAAATTCTGATCTAACCTCTCCGTAAAAGGCCAGATTAGTTGATGGATACAAAATGCTGTTGAGCTTTATACACTGTTAAGTAAATCAGTGACCATCAATTTATATGATTGTTTCAATGACTTACCAGGTTTTGACACGCTAAAATCACTTGCTTTTCCAATAACACTCCTGCAAACAAACTCAGCACCTGCCAGTAACGTTATGTATATCATAGTTAAAACCAATAATATGATACAACGAAGTTATCTGCACTAGTTACAATAAGTGGTATGTGAGAAAAACCACCAAAAGGACATGAAGTTGCAGTTGCAGAATTCAAATATTACTTTGACAAATGAAAGATAATCCTTTACTTGCCAAAGGTCCGTGTGCACGTAACCAACATATTTATCTATTTCAATTGTCAAATTAACGTTCCGAAGTACCTTCTCTTTTCCCACTGTAATCCCTTTTTCCTCATTATAGTTTATTTCAAGAAGTAAGAGCTCATGTTCCAGCCCCTGAGAACTACTTAATCGGATTTTTTTTTTTGTTTTAATTATATTTTCTTTTACCATTACTTTGGACAAATAATTTAAAAAGATTTTAAGCATGGCTCCTCAGCAGGACTTGTATAATCTTTCAATAAAAAATAAACCAATATACTTTTTTGCAGGTAATAACAGTAAACTAGGAAGCATAATAACATAAGAGACTTCAAGTTTCCCTAAACCTTAAGCTGGTTGGAAGTGGGCCCAAGATTATATCAAACTACAATTTAAAATTCAACTTGAAGGAAATTCCAACACATGGCCCTGAACCAATAACAGTTTTAATGCATGGCATAAACCAAAAATTCTGGGTGCTCAAAATGAAAACCTGATAGACAGCAAAGTCGTGTGGTTTTAATCCTCAGAAATTATAGTTAGACATCAAAGTGTTAATTAAAAAAAAAAAAAGTTATTTGGCATAATAACTACGAGAGACAGACTGCAGAGAAACAGAACAGAAAAGCAACCACATAAAAGAAACAAATTAAGGGCCACCTATTTCAATTTTATAACATGTTTTACTCAATGGCATGAAAGACTAGTTTAAAAGATTTATTGTTGCAAAGGAGACTACTTTTGAAACCATATTTTATGAAGAACTATTGACAATATCTATCACATACAACAATCTTGACTATAATTTATGCTTACAGTATCAAGGGACAAAACACGACAAGTAGTTGCAGTTGTCCATATCGATAATGCAAGAGCTTCCTCGGCAGCAGCCAACTTTGCATTGACCTTTTACCAAGTGTGGTAAGTGAGCCAAATTGTAGAGATTTCTTTAAACCACTAACTACAACTCCAGAATTACCTGAGCAGGTTCCAAGAATTTAAAATAATTTCCATGAAAACCAAGAGCAGCAACTGAAGCCCGTCTATAGCCAATGGCCTGAAGATGTTCAAGAGGGTGAAAAATAAATTCACTTCCTCGAGGCGGAATAGAGAGAGTATGATATCCACACACTATCTGTAGCAAATCGTTCTTAGTCTCCTATCAAAATCATTCACAGCAAAGAAAACAAATTAAGTATCAATATAGCTAAATCAATGTGTTTTTTTCTTTTTGTCTTTTTTTTTTTGGGGGGTGGGTGTGGGAGGCGGGAGTGCGAACCATTTAATACTAACCCTAGCCCATTCCATCAAGAATTCATCCCCATAATCTTTCTCAGTATTTGCAAAAAGATCACTCTCATCATCCGATGTCATGCTTCTAGCTGGACTGCCAATGATAATACTATGTTATTGAACTTGAATAGAAAGCCCATATGCATAAGATGGCAATGAAAACGGTAAGGCTATAAGCAAACAGTAACAGATTTGGAAAAAATCATGATCAGAAGAATGATTTTCACATTACAACATAAACAATGATTATAAACATATCCCGGCACAGACATTGAAGAAAAACATAGAGATGGTAGTCTGTAAAGGTTAAAATTGTAATCGAGCTTTATTACAAAATTATCAACCTACCTTCTGAAAAGTGACTCAGAACTCCCTATACGCTCCAATACAGGACCTCGAGAAGATAAAGGAGTTCCAAACTCTGGAGAAATATGACCATTTTCGTAGTTTTCGCACGTTCTTTCTGAAGCATCTGGCTGGGTTTCCGGTGTCCCAAAATTACAGTCATCATGATCATGCAGATACTTCTTGCTATCTCGGGAAAAATCTGAAGCTTCACTGCCAGTCAGGCTTACAGGGGATTGAGGATCCCATTTGGGTGACAAGTTTGGGATCTCATCATCAGTTATAATTCCTGCAGCAGCAGCAGTGATAGCTGCTACATCACCAACAGGTATTGCACAAGCCATCCAATCACTTATACACTCCCTCTCTTGGGAGACAGTATGTGAACTCATTTGATCATCTGGTTTATGTCTTAATGTAAAGGAACCTGTGAGACTCATATCACCTACAAACTGAGTTATTCGATTTAGACGCTCCTGTGCAGTGAGACTGCATCCAAGTAAGTCATTTTGAATTCTATTACATCTATGAAAATCAAATTTTCAAACAGTTTAATCTTTGACTTGAAACATGAGTCAGTATGCCAACCTGTTCAACATCTCAAAATGCAACTCAAAGAAAGGAACTCTAGTGAGCAGACAGTAACAACGAGGTGCAGAAACTAGAACACGACTGAATGCTGCAGGTGGAGAACGAGGAGAAGAAACACCCAAAATACCCGGGGGACGTTGAACAATTTCAGGCACATGTAAGCAAACTCCATAAAGTGTTGCGTTGTCTGCTACCTGATCAAGGTATGAAAATATATACTTGTTTTAGCAACCAGCTATCTTTGCTTCTCAGGGGAGTTTTTGGTTTAGCAGAAAAATCTTTTGACGGTCTAATTGTGCTGAACAGATTAGATAATTTGGGGGGGGGGGGGAACGGTTTTGAGAAATCTGTAGGAACATATTCTTTTTATTTCCTTTTAAAAAAAGCGTGCTAACAGTGCGCATCTTATACTGTAATGAGCCCTTCCAACCACCAATGCTATGTGTGCATACACATATAATGCATAACAACACAAACATACTAATAGAAAAAAAATTAATTCTAAATAAATGGCACAACAATACTAACAGATGAGTGCACAAATTACCTTGACTGAAAAAATAAATGACAAATCATCTCTGCCTAAATGCTCCTGCAGAGAATAACAAAATGAAAATATTGTCTTCTTTGGTTAAAGGTGGTCAGAGCTCAAAACAAGTTTAATTATGCATTAAGAATAAGAACTAATGAGTCACAAAGATGATATTGATCCATTTACAGACCAACTGCAGGAGGAAAGAATCTTTCAACAATAAAGCTAAGATATGAATAAAGTGACAGAATTGATACCAATAACTTCTCATCTCTTTGGACACGTTTATTCATTATAGAGAAATAAAAAAGTGGAAAAAGAAGGCATAAAAGAGAGATAAAAGGATTTAGAGATCCTCAATATTTCTCTACATAGGTATGCCTTAATTAGTGCTTGGTCCAAGTAGTAATTAATCTTCAGTGAAACATGTTAAAAACTAGATTTCACAAACCAAAGATGCTTTTTCCTCAACTGGTTTGTGAAGAGCATGAAAATATATGTTCTCAAAGCTAGGGCAAAATTGTTGCAGCATACCTGTCCATAGACAAGTTCATTTAGCTCACTCAGAGAAGGGGTCCTCTCCAACACCCATGCCTGTTTATACAATATCTCAATAAATTAAACTGAGGCAGAAAGAGCAAAGGCATCCTTTGATGTATCACATAAAAAGCATTTGATGGGGATTAAGGTAAGTGAAAATAGCATCAAGCAGACCTTTACACCTTCAGGAAAGCAAAACGAGGCTAAATCCTTCTTACGCATTGCTAGCCTCTTCCCAGGAGGATATTTGAAAAGTAACTGCACATATATAAATAGATATTGGTCATGAAGAACCCGTTGTTCTATAGTAATACACTAAATTGTTGTTACCAAAAAGAAGAAGAAGAAGAAGAAGCTAAATTGTAACCAAAACGAGGGAAGACATGAATTACTTAAAGTTTATATCGCTAAAAAATCCTGCCATTAAATTGACTGTTTGCACAGTTGATCTATACACCATCAAAGAAAGAAAAAATGCAACACCACAAAATTGTCCATATATAATTTTCAAAATTAACCTACAAATTTCTTTATAATAGAACCACTAACACTAAATACTCACAGTGTCTGTAAGATTAAATAACATCTTTAATTAAGCCCTTGAAATTAAGCAATAGATCATGATTGCCAGATAACACATAACAAAATGCATTTTTTAGTTTATCTTCTAATGAAACCATGAGTTATATTTTATATATCTTAGTAAAAGCATATGGAATGCGGTTTGTTGCTGATGGCAGATCTATAGATGCTAAATATTTAATATCCAGTGAACCTGAGGTTCCAAAGTTGGTGCTGCTGGCCCCTGTTGCCGCGATGTTCTGGAGTCTACAAATTCAGATTTTGCCATCTCTTTTTGCCATTTCTTCCTTTCTACAAATGCTTCCTCCACAGCTTCCAAATTAGCATCTGGAAGCAGCCCCACAATCACAAAATTTTCAAAGAGCGAGGTTGGCTCCTTATAATTTACACAATCCTACAATAATATTCACAGTGACTTCAACAAACTGATAAGTTTATGTTTTGGATGAACACGTCGAAGCAACACAAGTAGAAGAAGCAGCTTCAACATGCATTTTAGCATTTAATCATATTATTCACAGCCCCAACATGACAAGCTCATAATATCTTTGTGGGTTCCACTTACATTAATGTTAAGAAAAAATTTGAATCACCAATGGAAAAAGAAAAATTGAACCATTTTTCTTTAATGGTGTGCACCAATGGAAAAAGAAAAATTGAACCAGTTTTCTTTAATGGTGTGCATTCAACCTTCAGCAGTAAAAGAATTCTAAGAATATGTGAAGAGACTATAAAGGAATGAGTTTTGAAATGGACTTTCCAATCCCAGGCCAAGCGTGATCAGCTCGTTGTAACACAAATTGTTAACACTGCAACATCATCCTGTAAGACTTCTTTACTTCCAAGATCACAGAGAAAATAAACAGCTCAAATTAGAACTAAACGAAACAGAACTGAGTACCATAGTTTTAGAATGAAGCTGATACCACTGGCGTTTCTGGTTTGCCAGGTCCTCAGGATTGAAAGACGACGAAAAGCCATCTTCACGGGATCTACCACCCCACCGCCAGGCCTTTTGCACGTGAGATTTCAACTTTCGAAAGCTATCACTACGTCGAAATCCTTCAATCACAGTTTCGCTGTGGCCACGTCTATGTGAAGGAGCCTCCATAGGTGGAACGCTTGAGACATTAGAGTACACAGCGTTCAATACTTCGCCAGCAGCTCTAATAGCCTCCCCGGGCGTTTGTTTGAGCGTGGAAGCTGACGACAAAATTCGATCCTCATTTTTCGAAGCATGAGGTTCAGCGTCTTCTTTTGTGTCCATATTGTCACGCTTGGCTCATTTTTCAACGTTTATCAATTGAAGCTTCCGTTTGTTCCATTGCTTTAATTTAATTTCAAAACCAGCAGAAAATTGGATTATTCAATCAGATCATGATTCAAATTGGTGGACCGGGATGAAATATATCCCCGAAATAATTATTGTGGCTCTCTCAGGCCATTAATGATCCTCGTTTCTCACAGATGGCAAACCGAGCTCTCAATAACGTTTTACATGCTTTTACGATCAAGAAATTTTGCAATGCTCGGCCGAAATAACCCTCGAGTCTTTTCAGATTTTGCTTTCGGTTCTGAAACGAGCACGAGACAAATGGAATAACCAAGTTCTTAACTCTAGGCAAAACAACAGCGGCCGGAGAAAAAAATAAAAGAGCCAGACCGAGCAATGACACACCTAATAGCTTTCAATTCTTTTCAACGTGCAAAAGTCGTAACTACTTGAAACGCAAACAAAACCCAATAAATGCATCAAGAAGCTAGGATAAAATTTGAAATATGGGCCAAGAAAAAGAAAAGAAAAATTGTGACGGGATGGATGATATCGCTGCTTTCTGAGAAGGAAAAGAAAATTCACCGGAAACTTGTAATGTACCTCTAATTTTCTCGTGTCGAAGGCTTGGTCCTTGCTAAACAGAGGAAAGGAGACCGTGACAGAAAATTACTAAATGTAGAAGTGGGTTATATATTTAATGGAGGAATAGAAGGCTAGAGATGACAGAGGAGTGGAGGGCTAAGTTTCAATCCTGAAGACAGAAGCTGACCAAAAAAAATAAAAATTGAACATAGGAAGAAAAACGCATGCAAACGCTAAACAGGAATATTTGCAAGCATGGGCCCCGATGGCCCCACCAATCCCCATTTATGATTTGACTATCTTCTTCCACTTGGATCCCTGTCTCTGGACTTTGCATTGTCTTTTACTTGTCTAACCTGTGACCCAAACATCAGCTGTGTTGACTCCCACGATAAAGTTCGACGTTGACATCCCAGCCAGAATGGAGTACAATTTGAAAGTGAACAAACCTTAAAAACAGCGTCTTATCCTTAAACGTCGAACGAGAAGAGGAATCAACAAAAATATCCCATGATCTTCTCTCGATAAAAGAAAACTAAGTTCCCGTTAGCTCAATGGTTAACAAACATTTACAGTTATGTCAATCATTTTTTTCACTTTTGATCATTATGTCCATCAATTTCAGCAGTAAGCACAAACAGCTATTTCTGATATATTTGCAAATCTGCGTCAGATTTGTGGGTACTCCCTTTTTGTATGAAATACTGTTATCATGAAAAATTAAATATTAAATCACTAGGGTTTTTCCAAGGGGCTATTGTTTACGTGGAAAAATAAATACATGAGGCCCATTTCTTTGCCCGACCCGCGAGAGAACTCCAAATCACAGCTCAAATAATTCGTGGACCTGTCAGAGAGGAAGCGAGAATTACAATTATGCCATGCAAACATATAATCTTGAAAACTATTACGAGAGCAATAAAACTGACGCCGATTAATACAATTATAATTATAAATGAATTAAAACTTGAAGAATTAAACTTCGGGGGGAAAGAAAAAAATGGGTTTGATGTTTATATTCAAATTTTACAACGTATTTAGAACGCACAGAGCCACAGACGGATTAACACTTTTCTTTAATTTAAAGTCACATTTTTCAGTTTTATTTATGTTTAATGTATTCGTATCTCCACTTTATATAATTATTGCCGAAATTAATAAATGAAAAAACTGATCAAACCTACACCGGCAGATTTTCACGGTAAAAAAAAAAAAAAAAACACTGCGCCAACCCTAGATTTGATAAGAGAAGAGGTAAGTTTGAAGAAAACTATAAAGAACTTGAACATGGAAGTTATCAATTAAATAGAGATTTTGAGGTTCCATCTAAACATCGGTGGATAAATGTATTTTTATTCTGCCATGGAGTTTTTATCTGCCGAATCCTGAGCACAAAAGCGACAGACGCTTACCTACTGAACTGGAAGGGGGAATAAAGAGGGCAATATTAGCCTATCTTGCGTAGTCGGTGCAGTGGAAGACGGAGCCATGAAATGAGGAGAAGAACGAATCGCGTAGAAGGGGAAGGATGACTTGGAGAACACGCAGAGGAGAAATCCACCAGTCTGCTGGCAATGGACGGCAAAACCGACGGCCGACTTTGGTTTGGTCTCGACTTCTTTTCTCTCTCGACGTCTGATTCGTGTAGAAAATGAACACCGACGTTGGTTTGAGCTCGACTTCTCTTCTCTCTCGACGTCTGGTTCGCGTAGAAAATGAACAAAGGATGAAGGCATGAGAACCCAAGAGGAGCTCCGGTCTGCAAATGAGGAGGAGAACATGAAGGGACGCCTGGGCTAAAGAAAACCGGGAGAGTTTACTTAAATGCTGCTAGCAGAATAAGGGTTAATGCCAACTAAAATTAAAGTGATATGAGCTGTATTATTAAAATTTTACCGAGATAATAAAATAAATTCAGTAAATGCCAGTTAAAATTACAATGATGTGAGCTGTATAATTGAAGCTTTATTGAGGTAATGGGATAAATTAAGTAAATGCCAGCTAAGATTAAAATGAGATGAACTGTGTTATTGAAATTTTACTGAGGTAATAGACTCTATTAAGGAAATGCCAGCTAATATTTTCCTGAGATAATACCACTGCTAACTAACATTAATGGGGCGTCCTGAGATAATACTACTGCTAATTGACATTAATAGCATGTGTGCTTCTGGGTTGCTTGTATGACCAGCAATAGCTCGAAGAAGGAAACTGAATCATATAGTGGGTCCCACTGCGAAATCTTGTCGTGATCTCTGAAAAGCAGGGGGAGGGGAAAAAAAAAAACAAAAGGGTACTGGGATAATGGGATTATTCACTACAAGAAATTATAGAAGTAGCAGCGGAACCTTTCTAGCGGTTAAACAAAACCGCTAGAAATTTCAGATATTTCTAGCGGTTCCTACAAAAACCGCTGCAAAATACAGACGGTTTGACCATTAAACGCACATTTCTAGCGGTTACCCCCTAACCGCTAGAAAATTAGAGCTAGAACACTCCCCGGGCTTTGGCGGGAACTTGGCGCCAAATTTGTAGCGTTTACTTTCTAGCGGTTCAGGCTAATAAACCGCTAGACACCGAAAAATTCTAGCGGTTGATGCATGAAGTGCTAGAAATTTTTTTCATTCCCCGAGGAGTTTAGAAATTTCTAGCGGTTCGGTCCTTAACCGCTAGAGATTTCTAGCGGTTCGGCCGTGAACCGCTAGAAAGTCTGGCGGTTCGGGCCTGAACCGCCAGAGATTTCTAGCGGTTCTAGGCCTGAACCGCTAGAGATTTCTAGCGGTTCGGCCGTGAACCGCTAGAAATTCCCAACGGTCATATGACCGTTGGGAATTTCTAGCGGTTAGGCACAAAACCGCTAGAAATTTCTAGCGGTTTTGTGCCTAACCGCTAGAAAGTGTCGGTCTATATATACCCCCCCCACACTCTCACTTCTTCAATCGTTCTGGAAGCGAAGCTCTGCTGAATTTTCTTCACAAACATATTTGAGTTCTGATTCAGTTGCAGATCCTTATTTTCAGGTAAAAATAGTAATTTATTGATAAATAATTTTATTTTATGTTTTATTTTATTAATTTTATTATGTTATAGCTTATAAATTAATTTTTTTTATTTCATTTATAAATAATTACTATTTGTTGTTATTAGGATGCCTCGTCGACATGGGAAAGACCCAGTTGATCCTGAGAGAGCTGGACCCAGTGAGGTTCATCATGATGCTGATGAGCCATTTCCCAGCATTCATGACTACGATCTAAGCGAGGAGGATATCCTCAGTTTTATGGAGCAGGATGGTATTGAGCGGACTGAGGAGGCTCATTTTACTGGGGATGAGCAACCCCATGCTGATGCTGCTGACGAGGAGGAGGAGGAGGAGGAGGAGCAGGATCAGGGGAATGAGTATCCCCAGGCTGCACAGCGTCCTGCTCCGAGACGTCAGGCTAGTTATGAGGTGGAATTTGTCGGTAAGTATTTATTTTAACTTTTTAAAGTTTTGATCAGTATTTAATTTATATAGAAATTATATTAATTTATTGATATATAATTTATTTCTTAATTAAATTTTGTAGACACTGAGGGGAACAGGTCCTATCGGAGGCTGACAGCCAGAGAGCTGTCTATGATGACGGGCGGACGAGTGGTTGTGCCGCTCAATGAGTTGGGCCAACCGACGAAGAAAGGTGGCCAGTTGTACAACAAGTACGTGCGCCTCCTTGGTCAGCAGTGGACGCTGTTCCCCATCTACGTGCAGGACTGGAAGAAGATCACCTCAGACAAGAAGCAGCAAGGCTGGGAAATAATGAAGGTAATATAAAATTGTTATTTATAATTTTTTTTAATTTAAATAAATGATTATATATTTTGTTTTCAAATAATTTAATTGTTTGATTATAATTTTTTATTTATTTAATTTGTTTGTTATTTATAATATTTTTAAAAGTAGTTAAATGAATATATATTTTTAATTTAAATTATTTAAAAGTAGTTAAATGAAAATAATTTGTTATTGATTTCATTAATTTATTACTTATAATAATTTTAAATTTAGTTGAGTAAAAATATTTTTTTATTTAAATTACTTAATTGTTTAATTATTATTAAACTTTGATTAATTTATATTTTATTTATAATATTGTTAAATTAGTTAAAAACTAATTATTTGTTTTTAATTATTGAAATTGCTTAATTATTTGTTTATAATTTGTTATTTAGTTAATTTATTATTTTAATCATAGAGTAAATTTATTCTGGGGGAGGAGTTGAGGGCTGACACGATCAAGAGGCTGGGGATGGCATGGAAGAACAGGAGGGCCGACCTGTGGAGGGAGAAGAAAGGTGACGGGACGAGGCCCCTCCAGGAGATACTGGCAGATGTACCTGGTGGAGTCCCGGACCAAGACTGGTCCACT